TGTCGAAATTTTTCGCTTTCGTGATAACATTCTCCATGAATAAATGTAAAATAAAAGAAACAAACGGGTAGTATGCAAAATGTTGTTGCAACGTTCGCGACAAAAATTGCAGGACGATGATCGAGCACAGGACAAAAAAAATTTTTAAACGTCGGGAACAGAATAAATCTGTTTGACATGCATTTGAAGTTGAGGGCAGGGAAGCAAGTTAGAAGATGTGTTGTCACGAAGTATTCCAGAAGGAATCGACCGTGCGCTCGCTTGCGCTGATGCATATTTGAATATGTAACGAGTCTAAACTCGGTTGCGTATCACGAATGTTTCTCCGCGACAGCTGCGTTTATATTTCGCATACGTGATTCGTTACTTCAAGATGTATGACGAAGTACAAAGTCTTTGCCGCGAAGTCTACACGCGGCGCTTTAAGCAAATTGCAACAAACCAGATTAACAGCAAATTTGAAAAGCGTGCTAAACTCTTATAAGATATACGCTGAAATGTATTTTACTGAGAAAATATCAAGACAATTGCAACTTTTTGATATTTTATATTATCAGTAGATGTAATCAAATCGAATTACAATTCTAAAGAGTCAAAAGATGAGTTTTAAATTAAATGCAAGATACAATTTAATTGTATGCTTTGAGTTCAAATCTCAGTTCGTGGCATTCTCTCTCATTCATTTATACCTAAGTAGAAAATAAATCAGACTATAGTCAGTAATTAGATAGCTAGTAACTAGATCCCAGTAATGTGTAAAACATTTTGGAGGCCAAAATTCAACATATAAAAGAAAGAATGATTAGTAGGAATGGGATCAAGTTCAATATGTATTTAAAAATCCGAATCAAATCCAATAATTAAGTTTTACTTTTTAAAATTCGAGTAGATAATATTCATAAGAAACAATATTTCATACATTGTACTTGCAAAGTAATCAATCGCGACTAGTTAGTTCCGAATTTTAGAATAAGTACCTGTAGGATTCGAAATGTACTTGTAAGTAGTTTTTATCGTAAAGAATTGAATCTTTTATAAATAATACTCTAACTCTAAGAATAAAGTTATTAGTTTAAAAAAAAATAAAAAATAAAAATAATAAGATAACTGTCGTGTTTTATACAAACGTTTTGATTCGAAGGAACGTAAAGTTTTTAGTAAAGTTATACTCATAAAAGATTCGATATTTACCCAGTTTCGGATCCCCTTGGAAGTAATAGATTGTTTTTCGAGATATTCATACAGAGTTCGAATCTATTTCGTCTAGGTTCAACTTGAAAGTACTGCTTTTATTTTTCGAAGTAATCACAGAGAGTTTGAAACTACGCCAATACATTCAAACCTACTTGTAAGATACGTAATCCCATCGTTAATGATTAATCCTTAAAGTATATATACGCCAAACTAAAGCAGGTCTCATTCAGTTTAAGGACAGAGGGTTTAAGGGAGAGCATAGCTTGTGAAATCATCGGTCAGAACTGTCTACCTTCACATCCTTTTTTTTCAATAATAGATCAATATATTTGAATCACCCTTTTTATTCTTTCTCTTATATAATCGGCTACTTTTTGATCGATGGTTTGTTCTGAATAAATCCTTTTTGAAATTTAATTATAATTTAAAAGTCAATCTTCTTGCAACTTTGATCCTTCTTATATATAATTTGTTTAAACCAAATGATCAAATACCATGAAATGGTATCCTCTCTCCCTTAATTCCAGAAATTCCCGAAAACCCTGTATCGAACGAAGAAGATACGGCGACGAATTGGCGGTCGCGCGCGGCGACAGAGGCACTCGTCGCGTTTGCCCGCACTCGCATCCCCTCGAGTGACGCACCCGCGTGTGTGTATGCACGCACGGTCGCCCTCGCTCGAGCTGTTACTTTTCATTATGCACAATGCGGATAGACGTGGACATTTTATTTATCATAGGAATACGCGCGCGCTCGGGTCCACCATTCACCGGTGTCCCTTTCTGGCTCCCTCTGCTCCTCTCCTCCCCCTCCCTCCGGAAAGGGGAGCCATCCCTCTTTTATCCACTCGCAGCCTCCCAACGGTCCACGGGAAGGACAAGACAATGCGCACGCGACGCACAACGGCGCGGAAAGAACCGTTCTCTCCACGTTTTCATTCCCCGCTTTTTCCAAGGGGTGTCTGTCGCAAGGGAGAGGGTCCAACATATTCGGAAAGATTGGGTCCCGAACGAAGGAAAACCGCATTGTCTCGCGATGCACACCAATAACTGTGTAATCAACACATCAATGTGTCTGATGACTTGTATGGCATCATCGATTTGTAATCCGATTTGTAAACATGGATTAACGCGCGATAACGAACACTTTTAACCAGGATTCATCAAGATCATGTTTTTTTCAGGGTGTTTCCTAAGTAAGTACAAAAAATTGAAGAGGATATTCCGTGGCTTATTTTAGGAAGAAAATATATGCCATAAATATATATGCCCTAAACTGTTTCGTTTTCAAAATACGGAGTGTCAAAGACGTACGTCCCTGGTGGATCTAAAAATGTTTCATCAGTACTGGAAAATAGTTGTTAACACCATATGTACGCATACCAAATTTGAATAAAAAATATCTTTAAATGTTTTCCATATTTTCGAAATTTTCATATTTTTTTCGCAACTTTCACACCCTGTATTTTGAAAACAAAGCAGATTAGGGCATATGTTTATAGGACCTTTTCTTTCTAAAATAAGCTACGAAATATGTAATTTCCCCCCAATTTTTTGTACTCACTTAGAAACCACTCTGTATATTATTTCACATTTATTATACACTTATTCATGTATTATTTTACTTACACACTTTTCGCATTACTCATATACTTTCTCATATATTATTAAAAAGTGCGAGTACACATCTGGTACACAGAAATTTTTTCCCGCCGCGAGCAATGCCCGAGGAAGACACCGCCGTCGTGAACGTTACATGGATAATGCTTGTCCGCCGGAATGATAATGCCGGTGAACCAGCCAACAAAATGAGAGAAAATTAGTGCGGAGGTCGCGGAAGAGGACTGCACTTATTTCCCAGAAGCGTAGTTTCTCGTTTCGTGATCTACGGTGAACGTGGAAGAGCCATCTCGTTCGCCCTTTATATTTCCCGTCATCCTGCCTTTGATCTAGTCTCCTGTGCAAAGTATTCCACTCCCTTCGCGTTCATTTCCGGTGTCACAAGAAGTGACGCGTATCGTCCGAGCGATCTTCAAAGTAGACCGATTCGAGACTATTGGACGATGTGCAAGATAGATCGTCTCAAGGATATCGATGTCGAAGCGAACTGTCGTTATTGTTTCAAGGGGATAAGCGAAATACCTGATTCTAGTTCGGTAACGTTATACTTTAATTCTCTCTCTTTTGAATTATTCTATTGAATCTTTTAAGGAAGACATCGGAAGAGACCGTTGATTCTATTCCCTTCTCTTTTGAAAGGGCATGTCATCGGTACTCGAATCTATCGAAATATTGTTGTCGCTTTTCCGCGATGCCGATTAGTTCTCTTGTTGCGCTTATGTCATGAGTGGCTGTCATGACATATTTTGACAGTTGTGTGGTTAATAGTGTAATAGTAACAGTGAAATATATTAAAAATAAATAATGCGCGCGTAACGCGCGTCCGTGATGTCTAGTTTATTAAAATTTTACAGAGAGATTAAATTTTCCCTTATTTTTTGCCATTATTTTTATAAACTTTACATATTATGTAGATAGACATATATAAGATATAAAAATGCTAATAAAATTTGTGAAATTAATATATGCGAAGAGAAGCACAGATATATTATATTATTACCTACTTAAGAATAATCTGTTATCAGTTTAACCCTAGCTCGCCATAATACGGTCCAGTGGACTGCTGAACGTATTTCTGTTTTCACATAATAACATAATTTTCTAGTTTCGTTATAATAAGTTCGGTTTGAATTCAAATTATTTTCTTGACCTGATATTATCATAAACATCTGATTCAGCGTCTGCATTTCCAATTTCTACAGTACAAGCTTAAAAATATTAATTAGAATAAAAATGACAATGCGCGACAAAGTCGAGCGGTCTCACGGACCAGAGTGTGACGAATTAAGGGCTCGAAAATAAGTGTGGCTAGCTAGGGTTAATATTTGATAAGTATATTAGCCCTGAAAAAAACTCGAAAAATAAAGATTGATTATTTCTTGGAGCTTTTCCTGTTTAATTCTGCTTTCAATGGTACTCTATCACGTCGCAATTTCGAGAAAATTGAGATTTTAAATTCATAAAAGAGAACTACTTCGACTCAACAGATTATTTTAAATTACAAAATTATACAGTTTGAAAAAACTTTTGTTGAATTATGTTATTATCGAACATAAGAGAATATTGTATAATCGTATATGCAAATAATACATGATTTTATTATATAATATATAATTTATCATACATGCATCATTGATGTATCTTATTATTTTATTATCTAAATACATCGGTATTATTTTATATGTCATTATACTATACACTGTTTTATTTAATGTAATAAAATACTTGCAGCAAGAGAGTCTACCGGCACGTAATTCCCCAATCGCAGTAAGATATTTAAGTGAAAAATGCCTTAATAATTGAGCTGGTGGATACGAGAATACATTGGTCATCACGATCATCGGGTTTGACTTTTTCTTTTGGAGATTTAAGAAAAAAAAATAGGGTGTATTTACGCCTATCCGCAATATTCAAGAAAAACTAGTAAAATGTCAAAAAGATTCAAAATAACGAAAAGGCAAATAAACAATAAAGTAAAAAACTGTTATCAAAACTCTAAAATAAAAAAGTATCTGGAAGGCATACGTAGCATGTATATTACTATACGTTATTAATATTTCGCTATACGTATAAATAGTTACATGAGATGTTGGCATGTAAGACGAAGTAAGAAAAACGCGACTGTTAACGCCCCCGTCGGGAGGCCAGAGGGCTACGTTCCCGGCTGAATATTTCACACAAACTCACCTCTCGCCTGGAATTATTGGTGGTCGGTGTGCGTCTTCCCCTGGCAAAGCCGGCGTCCATGGACCTGGTGTTCAAGGAAGCCTGCTCCTTCGGGTCGATGACCGGCGGGATACGATGGGGTGGCACCCTCGGCCTGTACTCCACGGTCCGGCTGCTGCTGTGACTCTTGGACTTCGGTGGCGTCATCACGGCGCTCTGGCCAACGTCCGAGCAGCTTTCCTCGTCAGCTTCCTCGACGGGCGAGGGCGGCAACGGCGGGAACTCCATCACGTCGACACTCACCTGCCAAAGTACAGTGCAACTGCAGTTCAGAAGCGAAGAGCGGTTCAAGAAGATAGTACCGAAATCGAGAGGAAATCTTGTCAATTTCATTCAGCGAATGGACTCGTTCCACACGGAAACTCGCACCCTCTCACAATGTAATCGTGCAACGTTCGGATTTTATTCTATTCCCAAAAAGGAAAACGAGTTTACGCGAAGTCAATCTATCTCTGAATCTAAGTATCTAGTTGGCTTATCGATCTCGATTGCCAGATTTGCGCGAGCGATAAGTTTGAAAGATTAATTATTCAAATTAATGTTTCATTAAAACAAGCTCTATTTGGTGAACAAAATTACATTTAGCGTAAAAAAATGACAACAAATTACTCTCGCTCTTGTGCTAAAAAAGTTCATTTTTTTTTGTTGAACAGTATTATTGCGCCTGGCAGCGTTTCTTACTTTCTACTAAATGTTCAACATGTGGATGATAACTGACATATCGTTTTTATTTGGTGACACAGTTGCTTTCGAATTAAACTTTCCATCTAGGAATTTATGCCTAAAATGATGATTTATAAGTGAATATCATCAATATCATATTGCTCCAATTTTAAATAATCATTTGTTTCAGCTCATGCTTATCTTTTTAACATGTTTTACGAACAATCGTATGTTACGATTTTATGTTAAATAATAGCATAAGAGTATATTTAATAATTAATCAATCAAACCATATAAAGTTTTGGATAGCTTAAGACAATAATATGTGAGCAATCGACCGTATACTTTTGCGTGACCGATGACCGTATCCATAGAAATACTATAACTGCATAACATCTCCATGCGGAAAGTTTCCAAATTGAAAAATTTAATCTCGCACAGCTTTTGTAAACATCAGAGTGAAAATGTGTAAAATAATCCGCTGTTTTCACATCACATGATAGGAACAAGCAAATCGCTTGCTCTAGCAATCTCGAAAATCGCTTCTACCTCCGATAGAATTGATTTTTCGAACGATGTTCATTCAGCATTTTTCACCCAGCCTACTGGCCACTACTATCTACTCTACAAGTCTTGAACCTTTTTTTCATAACGTCCTGTATACGCCTCGTCGAACAATATTGAGAGATACATATATGGTCGAGATTTAATTTCAGATTGACATGAGAAGCTTCTAAAGAGCTGGCGGATGCAAATTTTCAATGGAAACTAGCTTGACTCAGAACCTGTTAATCGATGAAGGACCCTCGATGGAGATATATGTATATGAATGGCCATTCACCTCGATGACTATTCAGCGAGTCTGTTAGATATTTTCACTGAAGCAATGGATCAACAGGAGGTAGTTCACGGCTCTGTATTCGAGGGATGCTTTCATTGCTTTCAACAGATCGAAGACAACGGTAACCGCAATTGATTGTGTTTGTTACTTTTTTAGATTTTTAATTAAAACGTGGACATATCTCGAGAAATTACGATCGCGATTTATGTGCCCGCACTACGTTCAACGACCGTAACTTTACGAAAACTAAAATGTTAGGAAATTACTTAAAATGTTTCCAGTGAGAACTGAGCACAAGTCAAAGATACTAATAGATACGTGGTCTAACATTGGATGATACACGTTATGTGATAAAAAATTAAAATCTCTCGTTGGAGTTAATTACGTGGGAATAATCGGTAAAAAACGGATTCGCGTGCAGGAACCGGGCCGGACGCGCGGCGGTTCTCTCAGTACCTCCACATTTCATGACGAAAAATGCGGTCGTAGCGCGGCATCGCTAATGGAATCCTATATTATAGAGGTAATACTACCAATTTATAGACGGGAGCGGCTCGCTCCGGTCTCAGCTGCTCGGCGCCTTTTCACCATCGCGGCGCGCGCCCACCACGCGCCCGTGTATCTCCTCCCTTGCATTTTTCACGACGCAGATGCACCACGGCGATCCCATACCTTAAAGGCAAGACTCTCTATTTCCGCTTCGTCTTTACGCGGCGGCATTTTAAGCGACGCGCGGCGCGTGCAAGGTAAACGCTTGGTCGACTCGCGTGACCGACATATTCGCGAAAATATTCGAGTTACGCGACCGAGTCGCGGAACTCCCCTGGATTCCACTCTTACCTGGAATTCCGGGTTCTTCGAGTCCTCCAGAATGGCGTCGATCACGTTCTCGATCTGCTTCTGATCGTTCTTATGGTTCTCGATACCATTCTGGCGCAGCCGCCTGCCGGACGAGTAGACGACGTCGCTGGTGCCGTTGAGTTTCCTCCGATCCGCGAAGTCCGCGTCCGAGCTGGCCTTGGACGTCTCGGAGTCGGAGCTGTATTGCTGCTGCTGCTGCCTGCCGCGCGTCTTGCCGTCGTAAGAGCTACCGTCGATCGTCACGGGTTTCCGACCGTCGTGGACCAGCGGGAATTCGCTTTCGAAGCTATTTCGCTTCGAGCTCTGCTTCAGGTCGCCGTTCCGCCAGCGTTTGCTCTCGCAGAAAGACTCGCTGTTCTTCACGTTCTCGATCTCCTTGATCGCGTCGCTCACCTTCTCCAGCTGACGACGATTCTCCTTGAGCGCTTTCTTCACGATCTGATCCTCTATCAGCAAGTTCACCGGGATCTTAGAGGCCAGTCGCTCGTCGCTCACCGCGCTCGCAAGTTTTTTCTTCGTTGTCGTCTCGGCGAGCGCGCTGTTCGTCGACGACCTGCCAATGTCCAGATCCGCTAAGTTAGGCGCCGTTGGGATACCGTTGCAGTCTCTCGATCGGTCCAGACGGAGACCCATCTGATCGTCCTCGATCGGCGACGGCGGTAACCGAGGTAGTTCGATGTTTTCGTGCTCCTTGTCCTTATCCGAGATGTCGGACGCCTCCTCTTCTTCCACGGTGATCTCCAACTGGGCCCGATTGCTGGCGTCGTTGTTGATCGCCGGCATCGACACGACCCGGATGAGGTCCGGTGGCGGCACCGGGATCGCGAATTCCGCCGGCGGCTCATCGAGACCCTCCAGCTTACCCTCCTTTAACAGGCTCTTGATGTTGTCGAAGGTACTCGAATATCGCTTCACATCCGACAATCGGCTCCCTTCCTCGCCGTTCTCAAAGGACAGACTCTTGGTCTTGGTCGGCGTTTTCGGCAAAACTTTGCGCTCCTTCTTACGGCCGCGTCGTATGACGTAGGTGCCGTTTTTCGTAAGCTCCTGCGGCCGTATCTGATCTAGATCGTTCGTGGACGAGTCCGAGTACGGTGAGATCAGGTCGTCGTCGGTCGTCGACAGTCGCTGATCCTGCCAGTCGTCAAAATCGCGCAGCTTGGATGCGGAACCTACACCTGGAACATAATCAACCGTATCTCGTCCTGCCTTTCCTCTTTCCTACCTCCTGCTGCTCATTTTGCAAACCGGCAGATAGAATGAAATACAACAAATAAAGATAAAACTTGATAATTCATATTGTCTGAATTTGTTTAAAACTCGGACGGAAAAATAATTTTATTTATATTTTTATTTATATTTATCTCGAGTTTAGTGGGTTCAACAGCGATTTGCCAATACTTATAAAAAATTCTAAGTGCGTGAAAATTGAGGGAACACGAATTTTCTTCCAAAAGACGGATTCCTTTAATCATATAATATGCAATGCGTGCAAGTCAAAACTAACAACTCAAAAAAATAGCTTTTTGCAAACGCAAGGAAGAGAATAATCATTTTCCGTAGTTTTTTTTATAAGAAATACAATTTCACTCTCTTCAGAATATTTTATTATAATGGAATTTCGAAAAATTACAAATAAAGTCGTAAGAAAAATCTAAATATAAAGTATTTTACCGGTTTCCTAAATTTGAAGTCAATTTCTGTAAGAACTTTTAACAATATTTAATGATAGAGATAATGTAACATTGTGTATATACATGTATATACATACATATATACATACACATACAGTGTCTATAAAGTCTGTCCCCACCCCTTATATTTTGGCTCTAAATAGTGAAAACCCGCGAAATACGTGGAGAGCAGGCAACCCAACCCCTTTAAATGAGTAGCTCCTCGAAATGATTGAACACGTATTTCGCAATTTTTCATAATTTTGAACCGTTTCCGAAATATAGGGGGAGACAAACTTTGTAGACATACAGGGTATGACATATATACAGAGTGTCTGGTAATAAGTGTCACACCTACAGAGGGTAGGTAGAGAGGATTTTAAATTGAATAGAAAAGTTCTGCACCGTTTTGCAATTACGACAATAAATAATGAGTTATTATCATAATTGCAAAATGGTGCAGGAAAGGCACTTACTTGACACATCACTGCTCTTTCGTCGTCTCCTGCCGACAACCTTGGTGCTGCCGGGCGCGTATAGAGGATCGTCCTCCAGAGAGACCTCCCACGCGATGGAGTGTCTCTTGCTGATGGGCGGCGGTGGTGGCAGTAGCTCCTCCAGGGAGTCGTCGGAAAAGCGCTCCTCCTCGGATTGCGTCCTAAAGTCGGCCGAGTTTCGCGCGGAGAAGTCGGAATTACGTGTGGAGAACAGGTCGGAGTAGTGCTCCTCGGAACAACGGTCGGACGTGGGCGCTGAGAAGCGCTCGCTCGAGTCCGCGCGCGGCAGCGCGAACGAAACGAAGTCGAGATTGCGTATGGAAAACGGCTCGGAGGTCGGCACGGAAACGTGATCGTTCGAGCTCGCGCTCGCCACCGCGATCGAGAAGTCCGAGTGGAAGCGCTCGTTCGACGTGGAGTTGGCGCGCGAGAAGTCTGACGAGTCGCAGTTGGCCCGCATGGAGAATCGCTCGACGCTGACCGAGCTGGAACGCGGTATCGACGACCGACTCTCGGACTCGGAATTTCTCGAGAACCGGCCCTCGCTCGAGTCCGAGTCGTTGCGACTGCGTCGCGTCGACTCCTTGTCCGATCGGTTCATCAGCAGACGGTCCTCCACGCTGCTCGACTTCATAATCTCGTTCTGCTGGCGTTGCGGCTTCCTCAGGTGATGGCCGGCGCGATCGGGGCTGCTCTGCCGCTGGCGACCGTTACTTCCGTCCTCCAGGCAGTCCTCCGAGGAACGGCGACGCACTTCCCGGTGCTTCTCCACTGCGCTCGGATTCGTACGCGGCGGAATCCAGTTGAAGGACACCTTGCCATCGTACGGCAAACTGGCGAATTTGCTGGGCGGACTGGGTGGTTGGGCCAACCGCAACGATTCCACGGTTCCGTTCTCCCAGCCGTACGGCCGCTGGTGGCGAGTTTTCGGCTATCGAAATTTAACAAGTCACGACAGGCTGCCCCGAAAATCCACGAAAATATTTTCGAAATCAAATCTCTCACGTTAAGATTCCGTTTAAGTAAAACGTGCAGAAAATTAAGTGAGATACAGAAGTCCGTTATTTATTGAGATACATAATTACTGCGAAGCGAACTTTATTTCTTAGGCCGGTATTCATAGTCGGATCTTATACATATATTTAAGATCGTCTTATAAGGCTGGTCAAAGGCAGTCTTAAGATTTCGTTCATCAGCCAATCAAATGGCAGTATTAGCAACTTAAAACATTACTTAAGACGGTCTTGAAATAAGATCTGACTGTGAATACCGGCCTTAGAGTCTTTAACAAAGTAATTTTACTCACACTTAAGCGAATAATAAGAATTCCTTATATTTAAAAGGTAAGCGTAAAAGCCATTTGTCTTTTTAATCGCTCATAATTGCGAAACTATCGACGCTTCGACGTTTTCATCGCGACAATCTCAGGTTCAAATTGCCTCAAGAGTTAAAGAAACCTGGGACACCCTCTACTAAATACATCACAATTCGCCCGTGATAAAACAATTGAGGCGTCTTCTATACGATTCTACCTGTAAAGTACGAACCTCGATAGAATCACGGGGGAATCTTCAATAGCTCATAGATCGGAGCTTCGCTCGAATCGGGCTTATCAAGCGCGGTAGTTTCGACTTTACGCGGTCGACTCGTAAACCGGTATCGTTACGACGAACGCCGACGAGAAAGTCGCGAGATTACGAGCGCCCGGGCGCCAATCTATGTTACGTACTACGTTGCGATCCGGCTTGTTGTAAGCAAGCCGAGTTTACCAGCGGCCATCGAAGGGGAGAAAAACGAAAGAAGAGAGAAAACGAAAAGATACTCACGAGAGTAGTCTGTGTGGTAACCGCGTTCCCGTGACGCATGCTATCCTCCACGGCGACCATCCACTGCTGCCGGCCGCTGACGTTATTTCGTCGCTCTGAAGCCTGGCCCACGACATTCCTCTTTGACGAGTTTCCTGGCGAAACCCTGGCCGACAAACGAAGCGAAAATGAATGGGATTAAAACGCGGATATATCAAATCTAGTTGAATTTAGCGCCCTGTGTCAGTTTTCATCTCATTTTATCGCCCTCAATGGGATTTGCAAACGAGTACGGCGTACGTGTGTTATAAAATAGACGATGATGAATATGTTTCCGATACTTCTGACACGTAATAGGAACATCGTAAAATATCGGGGTAAATTTGATCAGTTTGTTAAGTGTTAAAACGTCGATGAAATATTGATACGACTGATATTTTTAACATTATTTTTTCGATACAGCTACATATCATTTTAACAACATATTTGTTTTAAAAAAAGTTTTTTCTTAATTTACAGTTAAATGTAAGAAAGTGTTTTTAACTACATGATTACTATACGTATAAGTAGAATTAAATAGAAAGTATATAAAAAATTCTTGCAAAAAGTTTTGATGTTATAGAAAGTAAATGATAAAACAATGAGAAAAGAAATAAAAAAAGTAAGTTAAAGAAAAGAATAATCATATAAAAATATCACATAAAAATCTTTATAAAATTTGAAAAAATCTAAATTCTTTAAAATTTAGGTTTCTATCATATTCATTTCATTTTGAATTTGTTCGTTTTAAAATCAGATTTACATTCCGTTACCTGGAAATCCCTTAACCCTTAGCTGGCACACTTCACCAGAATCACATAGCTAGCACACTGGGGGCCCGTTTCAGACCCCACTAAAATGCTTGCTCCGATATCAAATCGCGTGAATAAAACGCGTCTCGAGCGCGAAAATTGCGATTTTTTTCAAGTGACGCACGCAACGCTTGCAAAACGTGAATCTTTGCAAAACAAGCGTGACAATGCATCATCAAGGTATCGCGTAGGCGTAGGTCGTTTATAGCTCTACGGAGGGAGTAAAGTTTTTAACCCTCTTTCAAATATTCCCAAAGTTATCAAGTTGCCGAAGAAAAATGCGTAAATTTTGACAACCTGTGCTGCCGAATAACGAAGTCATGGAAGCATCGAAGAAGAATAAGGGAACTTTCGGAAAGGGAATAAATCTGGCAGAAATTTATCTTCACTGTTACGACGAACAATCGATCCATTTGCGTTTTTCTTTCGCAAGCTAAGGTTGTTGTCAGATTCGACCAACAGCGTTGAATGTGTGCAAACGAAATTTGGATTAAAGAAATATGCGATATATTTTAAATAAACCGCGAACTAAACAATTTTTGCAATTTAGGTAAAAAATATTACTAATAAACTTATATTAATGAAATTATAGTTTTTTGTGGTAAAAGCGTCATGTAAAAACAAAATATTTAAAAAATAATATCGTTGTTTGTGTAGTTATTTTTAACATCAATCAATCCGCGGACTTATCGCGGTCCAAGCTGAACAAACTATTAGATGAAAATTATATGGTTTTCTTCATGAATGGTTCAATAATAATCTGTTATTTATATCTAAATTAGGTACAGTTTTACTTATAATTTTTTTGTTATATTTGCGATAACGCTGCTCAGTCAGTCTTTGACGTTCTTTATTTTTAAGCAGGCAAATTATATATAGGAATAAATTAAATCACACAATTTATACATACAAATTTTCGATATTCGTGGGCTTTTCGCATTGTGTCTCAATCGTGCCATCGATCGTTTGACTCGAGAAGAAAAGAGTATAATACACGTCGACATTGAAAAGCAAACCTGATCGATTTCCATTTAATCGTCGTTGCTCGATAAGCACCGCCTTCCTTGGCAATCCGCATAGAAATGCGATCCATCGCATTATTTAAGAGCCCTTTTGTTGATATTTGCAACTCGGATGTTTAACTTCCGCGAAATATGATCATTTGTAAACGAAACTACATATTGCCGTATAATTTCCGGTGAATCCAGCAGTTCCATTATGTTTCATTATCTCGGTTATGATAATTAACGTGAGCCCCGACTAATTTATAAATAGAACTACTTCAGCACGGAGATACGATAGATATATTTATGTACCTAATTAATCTAATATACAAGGCAAATTTATACTGTTGACGTAATATGGTGCATAATCGCGAGATACGAAGGAAAGTGATTTATAAAAAAAAGAAAAAAAGACAAACGGTTCGCGGGAAGAGAAGCTTGCCAGTCGCTATGCAAGTTTCCGCGGATACTTTCCGCTGCGAGAAAACGAAAGCCTCTTTCGCGCGTAACAAGTTTACCGCCGTGCGGCGCGCAAAGGAAGAGTCACGCTGATTTTCATTTTGCGTCAACGACGGCGAGAACGACAACGGTTGCGACGAGAGGAACGTTTTGTCAGAATGATGGCCACTCTACAGAGAGGAGGTTTTTCGATGGAAGGCGCAATCTGCATCTCGAGAACGGCGGAAAATGCTCGAATGCTCTTCACAGACCGTGAAGGCGTTTCTCTCTCACGATAGAACGGGTAATAGGCATGAAACGTGGTGATTAGGATCGACAAGTACAACGAGGACGTTGCGGCTGCCGTCGATGGCTTAAGGACTCGAAGGCCGCGGCTAACAAGGACAGCTGTGGATTCGATCGTCTTAGAATCGGAAAATCTTTGAATATCTCGCTGCTGCAAAAGCTTTTATAAAGAAATTGCATACGAAGAATTAATTTAAACTGGACCAACCGTAACGTACTATTCGAACTCTTTCGTACTTTATATTGTCATACTAAATGATTACACTATTTGACATAAAATTGCACAAGAAGAAGGTAATTGTTTCGAAAAAAGTCTTTTGCAAAACAGTATTATTATGCTCGCATTATATGATTAAGTATATAAGATAAAAGCGGGAATATTTGTCGAAGTAATACCACTCGGCTCTAATTTTATATAATTAAAAACGATTGCCAGCGCAAGAACAGGCATTTCATCTACACGGACCAGTGGGATACAGAAAAAGAAGGCTGCGTTTGTTCGCTTGCGGTGAAACAAGTATCTGGGAAAATCTTCAAAACGCCATCGGTTTTTAATTATACGGCGAATTGAACAAACGAATCAACCATCGATGAAATCGGTTCGATAGTTTTCCAAAGGAACGAGCCTGCAGAATGGAAACTATGAAACTACGAAACTACAAAACTGCACTCCCAGCACATCTCATCTTTGTCAAGGAGAAGACAATCGGAGTTGCGCGAAAATAGTACGAATATAGAAAGAGAGAGTTTAACTTCTAATCATCCGGGACTTGCGAGAGGGTTTTAGTCCTCTAGGCTTGTTTGAGGTAACGGCGAATGGAGTTGGCGAGGCACGGCGATGACGGGACTCCGGGCGAAAACGATACCTGTTCCTGATGAAACGAAAGTTACGTCCGGAACTAAACCTGAAGATATGAAAAAGTTCAGGAAGTCGTCGCGCGTGCGGCGGAAGAAGCGCGACGAAGAAACGCCGGCGCCGCCACCTTCTCATTACGGAAACGGAAGACCGTCCTCAGTCCCCCGAACGCGTTGAAACGCGGAAGAGGACCCGCAGATACGAAGACGACGGACAGAAATTTAAATAGACGCGGGTCTTCCACGGGTCTTCGTGACCGACGAGGCCGAGTAACTCCGTGAGTTATCGTTGCCTGGTACGTGAGCGAAATTATTTACAGCCTTGTGAGTTTTTCGACGAGAAGCGTGACATTCCACGCACGATCTCACCCTTCTAAATGTCGAGAATATATTCTCGAATCTGTAAAAACGCAATTTGTAAATTTTTGCATCGTTTAAAAATCGTCATGCAGTACTGCTTAAGACGTCTTAAGGTGTTCTGGATAGTTAGTCAAAATGCGAAGTTGATGAAAATTTAATATCATATTCTGTATTCTCTTTCGGGGCCAATATTCCGCGCGGTTTGATTGGATCAATCGCAGTGAACGGTCTATGCGTTTGTCATTCCAGTTCCTTCACCCGTTTCTCAACTGTGTATCTTATTACCGGTTTTCTCACGTTACGTATCGTTCGCTCTACGGGTTGTCTATCCATTCCCGTTTGCTACGTGTCGCGTGTGATTTTACTCTTACGGTGCTCGAGTCATACGCGACATTACTGGTCTCGCTGCACGAATTACTGTTTCTGCGTTATCGTTTATCTCACCACGCGTTTTCTCACTAAGATATCAAAACTTTGTACACGCCTTTGTACGTGGATTTGAATTTCACCTCGTTATTGTACGTTGTACTGTGAAATTAACTCTGCGGCTTAACACTTAATCCGTTACTCTCCTCGTACTACAATTACGCTTTGTACCTCCCTTACAAATGCAGCGTGTATAGTGTGTGTGTTGCGCGGTATGAATCGAGAATTAAATGAAATCAGGTAGGTACGTTTATTGACAAACAAGATATAGAGACAAAGTCTATGAAAATGTGAGACTTGTGAGACCAGGAAATGCAGTCAATCGACACTCCATTTCCAATCGATTCCTTTCCAGCAGATATGACGAAACGTATGCTTCTCAACTGAAGCTTTTTCAACGAAGAAATATATCAACAAGTGACATTTCTATTCAATTTTTATTTATTCAGAAAACTGCGATGCATTCAAAATTTCGCAATAAATATTATACTATAGGTAGCTCACTCTTCAAAATTTCAAAAAAATAAAATAATAGAGAATAAGATAAAAAAATCAAAAAAGAATTATCGATTTAAATATTGGAGATGTGCGAATCAAGGATTTTTTATGTCGAATTGAATCAACAAAACTTCATCCAAATCGAAGCGAATCGAATAAAATCGAATCAAATCGTTGAAATATAATTTTTAATTAACAATATAATTATAATTTAGATTAAATTTTAACACGCAGATAAGAAAGTAATTTGGTGTGGAAAAATAATATTGATTATATAGAATAAATTCTTTTTAAGATAAAAACCTATTTAATATAAAAAAGTAATAAAATATACTTTATTTAATGTCGTAGTAACTGAAACAATTAAGCGAAAGATCATAGATAAATTATAAAAAAATACTCTAATGTAGTATCCAATAACATTATTCAATTATATTCATAGAAATTAAGATAAAATAATATAGGTATAGTTTACTTTAGTATCAATACTCATAGCTTAGATACTATTTTTTTACGCATATTCAAACTTTTACTTACAATTTGATAGAGTCGCAGGACATGTCAAAAATTAAGAATAAACTTTTTGACTGCTATACTTAGCCGCTCAGTGAGCGGTTATAATACTGAATCCACTCATTAAATGCAGCTATTAATATAACCGTATTGTTTTGCTTATTAGCAAGAAATATAATTTTATAAAATTGACAATATACATATATAATTCGTGTTCAAACCATCTAAGTACGAAAAAAAATTTTTGAATAGTCCAGATTTGAATCATAGAATCGGGTGAGATTCGATTCGTATTCGAATAGTTTGCACACCTTTATTTTTATTAGATGTTCAATTGGAAAATAACTATATGTAATAAAAGCATTATTATAAATTTTTATTTTTTATACACAGGGATAATTTTTCTAGCATCGTATTTCCTATCAATTTTTCCAGTAAATGAAATACACGATTGTAGCTGACAAATGAAAGCCTGAAAAAAATACATAGATGATCGATGCGTATTTTATACTTACATTGGCAAAAGAGTCGAGATGATACGTTCGGCCTCCTCCGGGGGTGGCGGGAATTCCTGCGTCGAGACACCCGCGGGATCCTGCGGCTCTGGACAATCCGGAACCGGACGTAATGCTACCAGCGCCATTTTCGCCTTCCGGCCATTCATGCTCATGTAACCGTCGTCCTCGGATTGGTGTCCTGCCGACATACGTTTTGCGATTACGGCAAATTTCCCAAATTTTATCCAGCAGTGCAGGATAAGATAGGCGTTAGCGCGGAATGGGGTAAGGGGAGGGAGGATCCTCGCGAGACGCCAGGGCGAGAACGATTTAATCCACCGAACTTCCGAACTTATCCTAAACACAACGTCTCAATTACAATCCCTTTTCAAATAGTTTCCGAAATCGAAGCGGAATTGCATTACCTCCGTCGACGTTTGGTACTTTGGTGATCCTAGAAATACGTACGTTGCCGCAATAAAACATTGCAGACACTGATATCTCGAACTACCAAAAGCACTTCGCGGGAAGTAAATAGAAATCGATCGCTTCAGTCGTCTTTCCTCGCAGACTCTTCGTCCCTGTATCTTCATCTCGTCAAAATGCTCGCGTTAAAAACATAAAATTACGTTAGAAGCTAACGTTCTCCGCTGAAAAATGTTATCGCGATTAAAAGCGCGAGTATCGTAATACCGATTCTCCCTTTTCCGCGAGAGTGAAAAATCCCTCGTTAATTACCCACCATCGTTCGCATCAGGTGCACCGGCATATGGCGAGTGAGCCGCTGTCGATAGAATGCCGATTTGAAAATTTCGCGAACCGTGCACGAGAGAGAAAGAGAGCCCGGCTCTCTCTTTCTCTCTTCCCGCAAACGCGGCGATGTGCATGCTTTCACGCCGATTTTCCGCGAATTGAATGGCAGGCCGCCAAGTCGGCAGGTTTATATTGTACGTCCGTAGGAGCGTTTCGATGGAAATAAAGGGAAAATATGTATCCGGGAACCGTAGGAAAACGACGGCTGAGTCGAAGACTCGAACACGTCCGACGATCCGCCATCCGATAGGTCGACTGCCTTCGACGATAATCTTTTCTTCTTCCTCTTTTTTCTCCCTGCTGCTCACAAAATGCGTTTTCTACAAGCTGTTTGTACGCGCTTCGCTTCGTAGAAAAGTCTTATATGATTTTCCAGAGTGTCTGCTTTATAAAATTCCCTAAAAATTCCATTAGTTGAACTTGGAAAAGGAATTTTTGAATCGCGCTGTATTAGAATATTTTTAGATGCAAATGTAAATAATACTGTATGTTATTTGGCTCTTTTTTATTTGTCTTTTCTGACAATCTTTCCGTATGAACATAAGGAAAAATTAAGAGTTATTTATTTTAAACATCAGGTTTGAAAGAATAGGTATTGAAAAAAGTGAAAAACTTTCATAAAATAAGTACGGATTGGCATACATAAAACCGGCCTCAAAAAGTTTTTGTTAACTGTATTTTGTATTTTGGGACGGTTTTATGTGAGTGATCTTCTATCTCATATTGCATGTAACTTTCATCCTTTTATTTCCTATAAACAAAAATAGAACCTGCTATAAGCATAAAGAAAGTTTGAACATCTGATGAATATTGTAGAAAGAAAAATGCTTTCAAACAACACAAATTTCATCTAAAAATCTAAATAAACACCTAAAAATTTCCAACGGAATTTACACAGTATTTACTAAAAATATAACATTCAGTCATGCTTGTAAAATAAAAATAGAACCTTTGAAAAAAAATTTCGACAAAAATTCTGTTCGTTAAAAGTCGGATCTTCAATAATTTAGAAAAATCATTTAAAAGGTATAATTAATTCGTGGTTGTTAATTGATGAATTAATAAATTAATAACAATTCGAGCTAATCAGTAAATGTGAGTTTCATAAATAGATTGAGCTTGGCTTAGAAATTAGAATGAAATTGGGATCCGCTCGTATTCCGAGTTACATTCGGCGCAGCCTGGTATTCGTCTCATTGCGCGCAGTCGGCGGACCCTACAATTACGAGTTGGCCACGTGAGTTTGCCGGGATCGACGTACGCGAGAGTGCTAGAAAGTTAAATATCTTAGTCAGGGTGACGAGTTAAATCACATAAATCGCACACCACACACGCGCGCGCGCCCACTTTGACAACTCGTTCGCGTTGTCGCCTGCAAACGACTTTCCGCGACAACTCGCACCGGCATGGAACTTCGCGCTTCAAACGCGAGCAGATATCTTTAGAGGGGCGGAAATAGCGTGCAAAGTTCTAGAAAGAGGCGTACTCAGTTGTCACGGAGAATTTACTATCTTCGCCCTGTCGATATAAAGCGGCGCGCGCGCTCGCATCTTCCCACAAGTTCGAGGCGGATACTACCTCGGCAAAAATTTGTCGTGAGGCGATCATTTGTCGCGATTCCTAAAGCCGGCTATTTCAACGTAAGGGAAAGATTTCATTTGTGACAAAGTGCGACGTTCTTTCGTGTCGAAGAAAATCCGAGTTTAATATTTCATTCTCGCGGAACGATGGAACGTTACGTGTTAATAATTTGACGAACGTTAATAGCGAGCGATGTTTATCGCCACTCTACCGTTGATATGCTTAATTATAAAGCGCAAAAGATATGTGGTAATTTACGAATAAATAAATGCAATCTCCGATAAATACGTTGTAACATTAATTACGCGCGCAATAATGTTCAATAATAACTTACATATTCTGCGAGCACAGTAATGTAACTGTAGAATTTGCAATTTGCGGAAATTGCGAAATTGGCATACGTACGAAATCCGTACGAAATACGTGCGAAACATGCCCAAGTACAATAGGTATATGTGCTCCAGATAAAAATTTTTTCGACTAGTTCACAATTCGCGGTGTTTTTCACGCTCTATCTGTTTCGTGACGAATATCCGGATAAAAAAAAAGAATTAAACTGATTCTCACCGTCAGGTCTGTCAGTTCGCTGGCGTGTGTACTCGAGATGATATTGATTTCTATGGCAATCAGATATTGGGCCAATTCCGCCGAAAATGTTCGCCCTCGATGTTACTCGCGGAATCGCGTGGAAAAAAGAATAAACACAAAAATTTGCGCAAAGGAGCATTTTGTGACTTTCCAGCGTGAAAGAGTACGTTTCTGGGTAAATAATGCAAGAATGCAAGGCACGTCGACTGGAAAGGGCGTCGAGAAAACTGCGGAATTCATTTCGGAATAAGCAAATCGTACATTGCACCGCGATACTTCTTCTTCTTCTTAGTCATGACATCTTGACAGATGTGTTGTGATCCGTTTTGATCAGCCTGCCTCGAAACTGGAAATAGCTCGTGCTATCATACTTCGCCATCGCTCTGTTCTACGTGTCGTGAACAGCTTGACCGAAATTTGTTTGTAGAAATTTTTTTGTTACATCAACCCAACGTGTCGGCGAGCGTCCACACGTCTCTGTCTACCTCCCGGTCTTCCCTGAATCACGAGTCGTTTAATATTGTCGCTATGTTGTATGTGGCCAAAAGAGTAAGTATTCTTGAATAAACGATACTTGACCGACGTCTTTGAGGATGTATTTTCATTGAGTATGGATGCGTTTGTTCTCCGCGCAGTCCAAGAAAGTCTCAAAATCCTGCACCACTCCCATATTTCAAACGCATCAATTTTACGTTTAGCAGTTTCTCTGATGACCCGTAATTCGCAAGTAAATGAAAGATTGAGAACACCAAAGCACCAACGAGTCTTGTTTTCATGTTTCTATATAGTAATGTTTTTTACCTTGCCATACTTTAGTAGCTGTAACATCGCCATTTTTGCCATTGTATTCGACGTTGAATTTCAGCTTTATTATCAATTAGGATCCCAAGATATACAAATTGACTGATTGCTAAACAATGACTAATTTACTCGATACCAGGTCTATTGTTTTGTTCTTCCGATCAATAATTAATCATTATCTTGGTTTTGTCAATCACCATATCATATTGTGAGTTGATTTGCTGAAGGCTATGCAGAAATTCTCCAATCTTTCTCTAATTGCATGCTATAAGTGTTGTGTCATCCGCAAATGAGATATTTGTACACCTTTCTCTCTCTCTCTATGATTCTACTTATCCAATATCTGCCTCATACACTGTTAAATATTTAAGGATGAAATTTAAATCAATATCTTGAGTTAAATAACATTTTGTTATTTTTAACTATCATGTGTGTCAAAATTTATCACTTTAACACAAAATAGTCTTATTTTTTAACTCCAACGGTTTAGTAAGTTTAGTTAAATTAATAACAAATTGAGTAAAAGCAGTGGACGACCTATA